GATTTTCATACCTCTAAAAGAGTATCCAAAACTTGAAAACTACAATAACAGGATGTGAATGGTCCCTTTAAAATAACAAAGTTAATTTTAGCAAACCTTTTTTTTAAATACAGATGTAAACGTAAAATCACATTCAAAATTTGTAAAAAACCATGTCTGAAATATTTAGTTACGAAAATGGTCTCTGTGGGCAGGTACGTTAATGACTAACTGAAAGTCATAGGCCATAGATAAAATAGTCAGAAAAATACAGGCGAGGATTTTGGACTATATGTGCATTTAGCCACAAGAGGGCGACTGTGATGGTTATAATTACATATAGTATTAACATAAGCATTGCAAGATTTAGCATTAGCAGCTGTTTGTGGCTACATTTGTTGTCCCTGATCTCTGTTTTATGGTCCTGTCTTGAATTATCTCTCTTTAACATAGGGAATTAATCATTAGATAAGTTTCCAACGTGTTGAAAAGTACTAAGGGTTAAAAAAAAGAGCTAGAATCGGACCCATATCACTGTTCTTACAGGGTGTGTTTGGATTTTTGTTGTCCTTGAGAGTGCTTTGTTTTGAATATTTATTTCCAATGTTTGAGAGGAACTAAAATTTTAGATTAATAAATGCACCTATAATTCTAAAACAAATCTGTCCGTCACTTAGATCTTTGATTTTCAGAAAAAGAAAAATGAGTTCGAACATCTGCATTTATGTGACATTTCCTGTACAACAGTTGGAAGGTTCTTGGAACTCTGATAATGAACCATGGGAAGTTAATGAAAGTGTATTAACTTGACCTCACTGAAGGTGTATATTGTCTTGATAATGAGCAACATTTTGCTTGAGAAGTTTTAAGACCCCTGCTGCTGCAATGTCAAAGTTGTAAATTTTGATCCTGTTTGGAGGAAAAAAGACTGGCACACATGGGTGGACATGTACGATTGACAGCTAGTTATCTGTGTGCAGATGACATGAAGTTTTTCCTCTTGCGACCTGAAATCTATGTCCATTTTATCAGTAGGTTTTATGGTAAGATGCTGTAAACTACAGCTGTTTTGTGAAGCCCATGCTTTTTGTACTTTTGTGTTTTTTTTAAGTAAATTTGTGCAGGGATTTGTCATGTCTGTTGTTTTTCCCCAACAGTTGTTTTCCCTTGCATGTATATAAAGACAAGTGATTTAAGTTTTATCTTTTTTTAATTACATTATTATAAAAAAGTGAATCTACTGGAGAAAAATGGAATAAAAACATTTTTTGACATAAAAATTATATGTATGGCATATGTACACATTTGATTTTTGTCTTGAAACAAAGTTCATTTACAAAAATGTATTTACTAAATTAGGATACGGCTTTGTGTCATCCTCAAACTATTTTACACAGTGTTTGTAAGGCCAAATACTTGCACCGTATTTGGACAGCAACAACAGATAATTCTTAATGTTTTCATGTTCCAGTTTTGTCATAAGCAGTAGTTTAGAGATCAGTTAATGTTATTTACAGAGTAAAATTAGATTTTTCCAAGATGTATTTTCATAATTTGAAAGATATATGTTCATATAAATAAATCAATGTTTTAAACAAAAGAGACATTTTTACTATCACGTTCTGAAGTCAATCAGTTAATATTTAGAAAAGCGACAATTCCTGGTAAGGAAATAATTAGGTGTGTATTTAGATATTTTTATTTAAAAAATAAACAATTATGAAATAATAATAATATAAGTGAATATAATTTTAAAACCTTTTTAAAGAGTTTTAAATGCCATATAAGCCATTATTGAGATTTTCAGTAATGGAGCGTTTGCGACACTACTCTGCTCTTATTCTTAAATTTCTCCATCCTACGTAATGAGATCACTTCCGCCTGAACGTACGCTTATGGAAAATCAGAGACCGGTGTCGTCCATGTTGAGGAAATCATTTCTGGGCGAATTTCGCTCACATAAGTGGAATTAAAATAAAAAAACACTAATCACATTTCGGGGTGAACATGAAGGTAAGGATGTAGGTGATGTAGCAAATTGTTTTGATTTAATAAAAATGAGTTTTGTTTATTTATTCGTGATTTACAACACAAAACTTAGTTGTCAGTTATAGCAGTGATCTCACGAGCGGTCGAATTTGACTGCGTTAATCTCCGTTTTATTTTAATTTGACAGAAATCCCAATTTGTTGTTGATCAATTCCATTCAAACTCAATATACTGAATGGTCGTGGTCCGACTTGCGTTGATTTAATAATGCCATGTTGGCGTAAATCGTTTGAAGTTTCAACCCGGAAAGAACACACCAGTTAAGATAAATCTCGTCAACATTTTTATCAGTCAATGTAATTTATTATTTATGCCATCTTTATATGTTGAAATGTATACTCGATATACGGTAATTAAAACGCTACTGAAGCCAACTACAAACTAACTTTCAGTCAGAAATCGTGTGACTAATTATTTCCGGAAAATACTTTCTCAATAAAATACTTGAACCAAATTATTTATATTACTGGCTTCCTTTTTAATATTTTTCCAATAATTCGTAAAATAATGCTTTTGACTATTTTCGACATAATAATTACAAATTGTAATAAAACCCCGGTCACAGAGAATTTTGTGTTTCTGGTATTTATTTAATTTTACGACTCATACATTATAACATTAACGAAATCAAGTTGAAACGACTTTGACTAGTTTAGATAGATTGTTTACATGTATATTTCCGGCAGTGGTTTATTGAAGCTTGATTTCTCTTCCTCCATATATTTTGTCAATCGGTGTTTCGAGATCGATTAAGCAGCCTGGCCCAGGCCAACACGAAGCAGCTGGGCGCAGCTCGATCAGATCTACGGACGCTGTCAAATGCAGATGAAACGGTCACTGTAATCACGTGAATGTAACAGAAATCGTTCACGGCAGTTTAAATGCGTTACATTTGGCCTGTTGTGTTTTTGTTGTCGTAAGTGATGCTGCAGTTCTCCTTTCATGAGACGTTCGCGAACCAACGGACAAACGTGCGCCAGCCTGCTGACTGAGTAGCTACGTACCGCATCCTTGCGTCAAAGCCTGGCTAAAGCTAGAGAAACCCGTGTCAGGACAAGTCAGTGAGAAAGACCGACACGTTTTCTAAGGTTATTTTTGGCACGGACGCTGCTGCTGCTAATGCAGACGAGCCTGTCGAATCTGCGGTTTCACTAGAAACTCGGATAATCCTGACACCACCACTAGTCCGTTGTTATAGAGAACGACACCGTTTAAGAGACTGTGTAATGCTGATAAAACAACGGTTTAATTACGTGGCTTGGTTTCGACACATGGGGCCCTGCTGAGAAGATGGACCTGAATTTTTATTCAGATTTAACCGGTGGTTCCGGGCAGCACGAAGGTGACCCGGAATTCTTGGACCCACAGTCCTTCAATGGATTTGACACCGACAGCAAGGTGACCGTATTTGTACGAGTTACCTTTGTGTATTTGATTCTATCTTGTATCCTATATTAACATTTCCGTGGTTTGGTTTTTAATTGAATGTCCTTTCTAGTTAAATAGTCGTCGTAGTATTGTTAGGGATATTTAGACTGCTGCAATGCCAATTGTTTGTTTTGTTTTTGTCAAACACAAATCTGAAGTTTTAAATGTTGGTAGTACAACTAACAAGTACAATAGTTAAAAATAAATTAACACCTTATATTCATTGATTAGTTAATTGATTGTGTTTGCTTAAGTTGTGTAGTCAGGATGGTGAAAAGACATGAGAGAATGTTCCAGCACAAGTAGGGAAAAAAATGAAATTGCACAATTTCTTGTAATCACTTGTCCACAAAATCCTGCACACAGTGCTGGTGAGACAGAGCTGTGGTTTTTCACAAGGGATTGTTTTGATTTGGTGTGTGTGACACCCGCATCCTCATGTGTGGACTTTTTTTTATAGTTCCCGGTAGGCAGTGACAACTACTTGACAATTCCAGGCTCCAGCCATCCCTTCCTTTCCTCCTCAGAGGTAAGTTACAGCAGCAGCAGCAGTTGTTGTGTCATTTATGTTCAAGGGTACCTGGAAATCTCTTCATTCTGATGTGATAATGGTGATTGGATTTGTTACGTTTGATATGGTGTGGTTTGGACACAACACTGACTGTCACGACAGCATGTGTCTGTATCGATACCAGGTATCAGTATAAGGCCTGATACCAGCCTTACTTCAAACTATTGGTACTCGTTAAAGGCCACTGATGCCAGCCACTAATACTCAGGGCAAATAAATTAGGCAGAAAGTACTTATTGCTGAAGATGGTACTACACTGCCGTGTCATTGAATTTTACTATGTATTGAGATATGTATATACATCAAAAGTAGATAGATAGATAGATAGATAGATAGATAGATAGATAGATAGATCCCAAAGGGAAATTAAGGAAATTGAAACTGGTGGTATCAGTAATGGTTATCGACTAGAGTGAGTACTTGGTCTGCAAAAAAATGTATTGAACATCCCTAGATAACAGTAAAAATGTAAAAAGTGGAAAACTTTCATTTCATGATCTGTCAAATCTGATCTTTTCTCTGCAGACATTTCACACACCCAGTCTGGGTGATGAAGAGTTCGAGATCCCTCCCATTTCTCTTGACCCAGACTCTGCTCTCACTGTGTCCGATGTGGTGTCCCATTTCGGGGAGCTATCAGACCCCGGCCACTCTGACAACGTGGCAGTGCCAGAGAACGCTGTAGTGGAAGGGGACGACCCATCCTTCGCCTCTACGTTCGTGAACTCGTCATCACAGGGACTAGACCACCTGGGTCTGGGAGTCATGGGCCAGTCTGGAGGAAGTGCTCTGTTGGGTTCGTCACTGGGGATGGTGAGATGTTAGGGATTGTTATAGCTCCACTGACGTCATCATCATCAAACTGACATCGACAAACAATACTTTGATTTATTTGACCATCGTCCCACTTCTTTCGACTACAGGATCTTAGTCATCCAATCAGCTCACAGCTC